AGTCTCCCCTTATGAAAACTCTTTGGTCCTCCGGAATGCTCCTAAGTACATCATCTAACTGATCCCAGAAGCAACGTTTCTCCCCCTCCCCTAGGCCAACGTGTGGGGCATACACTGAAAAGATATTCATCACTTCCGCTTCTATAATAACCTTTATCATCATGATCCTATTCTGGTATCTACAAACTTCAACTACATTTTTCTTGAGCCTAGAGGATACCAAGATACCCACCCCATTTTTAGCATTATCTGCGCCTGAATACCACAACTTGTACTCATTACACTCTCTAGAGCAAGCCCCTGTCCACCTAGTCTCCTGAATGCATGCAAAATCTATTTTCCTATTACTAAGTACGTCGGTCAGCTCCAGCAGCCTAGCATTTAATGTGCCTACATTCAACGAACAAACTCTAAGTCTAGTCTCCTTGTCACCACTCTGTCGAGCCCTCCCCCTATACGCCCTATGGAATCTAAAAGAAGAACATGACCTCAAGTAATCATCTATAGCCGAAGCTATGAGGAACTATGAAAAATTAATCCAAAAAAGACAGAAGATGCACCAATAAACACTAGAGAAAAGAATATGGAACTTTTCAATCCGAGCTGCAAATTTCAATACTAACAATGAAGATCTACTTAATCCCAGTTTTCTAGAGAAAATACTCTGGATAGTTACAAACTTTTCAAAAATCCTACCATTTGTAACATACTAAAAATACACATAAAATGAACCCATTTTATCCATTTCGTTTCCTATTCAAAAACAATAATTTTTATAAATAAATACAGCAAGGTTAGTTTAACTAAGATGTAAATTAATTAATCCCTCAAATCTTAAACTAAAAAAAGGCTTTAAACAAAGGGGGAAATCCAGTAATTAAGGGCGTGAACTGATAAATCTCAAACACCAAAAACACAAAAAGCATAAATAGGAAACATATCAAATCCAGATCTCATACATTAAAATAAATCCAATAAACACCAAATCCATCAAAACATAGATTCAATTTGAAATCAATAGAACACACACACCCAAACGAAAAGCCAACAAATATAAGAAGAAGAGGGATGGAAAAGGAGCAAACTTAGAGTAGACGAAGGGAGTCGATTTTCACTTCCAGATCTGTGGAATCTGACCTGGGCGAGATTTGTGATACTTACAGATGGTGCAGTTGAAAGTAACAGACAGCAGACCGCAGAAAGCAAAACTCAAAGAAAATGAAAAGCCTACCACTCGAACCTTGCTGCAGAAACCCAGATGTGAAACGATGAAACGTTCAGAGTTGCAAAAGAATAAAGAGGGAAGAAAAGAATAAATGCATGCTATAAAATAATTTAAATAAAACAATATGTATTTTCTGGTTTTTATAAGTAGGATATTTATTTATTTTTAAAATATCAGAATATGACATCTAGTTATATTAAGACTGCCCTTTTCTTTTATATTTAAAAAATAAATAAATATTAAGAAGAATATAAAGATTTTCCTAAAAATAATGAAGTAAATATATATATATATATATATATATATATATATATATATATATATATATATATATATATATATATATATATATATATATATATATATATAAGAAGGATATTTATTTATTTTTAAAGTACCAGAATAGGACGTCTAGTTATTTTAAGACTGTCCTTCTTGAGTATTTAAAAATAAAAAAATATTATTATTTAATCAAATTATAAAATTATTATATTATATTTCATATAAAATATTAATGAATAAAAACCAAAATAATAAAAAAAAATTAATTACTAATTTAAACATATTGAAAAATAAATGACAATAAAATAAAAAAATAGAATAAAATTGCAATAAATAATGACTAAAATAAAAGAAATTAAAACTACTAGATCGAATTACAAAATATAAAAATTAATGTAAATAATTCGAAATATCATAAAGTATAAGTATTAACATTATAATTTAGCCTATGTTAATTAATTCGGGATATAAATAAAATTTATTAAAATTAATATGGGCTAAATAGGTTATTTTACCTTAAATATAAATATAAACTGGTAATGACTAAAATATAATGAAATAAAATTAGAAGATAGAATTAAAACATATAAAAATTGATTTTAGTGGCTAAAACGGAAGTTTACAAACTTCAAAGGGCTGCGGAAAGGGTTTTACCACTATGAAATTACACATATACCCCTCCCCAAAACGACATCGTTTGGGAGGGGTATAAATACCCCAAATGGTCGACCCTTCGGGCCATTCTTCTCATTTTTCCTTTTCTTCTTCTCTCTCTAAGAGAGAGAATTTTAATTCTCTCTCGCCTCTCTCTAAAAGGCTCCACCCGGTGGGAGCCCGGTCACTGGTCGGCCGCCTCACTCCGGTGCCGACAGTCCCCGTCGGCCACCGTGGATGGTGGCCGGAAATAAAAATTTTTACACCAAAATTTTCCTATTTTTCCCTTGAACTCGAATCTGAGTACCTTTAGTACTAAAACCACCTTTAAACCCGTAGATCTAAGCAAAACCAAATATTTTACCTCAATTTTTCGGTGGTTTCACTGAGATTTGGAGGCTCTGATGAAGGTAAGTTGTTTCACTTTCACCTCTTTTCTTTCGGTTTGTAGTTGTGGGTTGATTATTTTTTGTTGGTGTCTTGCTTTTTGTTGTTGTTGTTTCCTGTCCTTGGTCTCTGCTGTTGGTTGCTCTCGGTTTCCTCTCGTTCTTTGCAGGTGGTGGCTTTTTATAGCCTCGTCGGATCTTGCCTCGGACCGGTCACAAGGGTTGAGTTTGGTGAGTCACCATAGCTATGGTGGTGACTCACCATAGGGCTTCAACGTGGGGTTGCTTCTGGAGTCTTCGGCGAGACGTCGTGGCAGTGGAAGAGTTGGTCGTGGTGGTGGCAGCAACTGGTTGGGTCACCTGGCAGTGGAAAATCGGTTGCATGGTGCATCAGAGGCGGCTGGAGATAGTTGAGGCGGCTGCAGATAGCTGAGGCGGTGGCGGCGCTAGGGTTAGAAACCCTAGCAGAAATTATACAAAACCCTAAAGGGTTTGGGTCATCTGTTGGGCCAGATTGACTTATGTTGGGCCTGTGTTGTAAACGGGTCGGGTTTGTATATTTTGGGCCTGTAAATATATATATATTAATAATAAAAGTAATAATATGAAAAAATTAATGTTTACATCAAGCCTACCAACAACAAACCCTTCAAATAGTCCAAGATCAACAACTTTAAGCAACATTAAATTAAGAAGTTCCCCAACTATATTAAAGAGAAGAGGGGGAAAGACTACAACCTTGTCTCAACCCTTTACCCATCGAAAATTCGTATGTTGGACTTCCATTCACTAGAACCGAGATTGAAGCAGAAGATAGACAATACTCAATCCATGAAATCCATCTCTCACCAAAACTCATGACTTTCAATAATCTCAAAAGAATCGGCCATTCCACCGAATCATATGCTCTGCGAAAATCAACTTTGAATACGACCTCATTCCTCCCTTGTTTCTTTTCTTTTTCATCAAGGCTAGAAGGTTGCAGGGTTGTGTAACTGGATCTGCCAAGACACCTGCACCAGATGCCTCATCTTTTGATAAATGGGATTCGGAGAATAATCTCGTCTGGTCTTGGCTCATCAATTCGATGGAGCTTAATATTTCAAAGACATGCCTATTGATTAATGCAGTGACACAAATATGAGAAGCGACAGCTCTTACATACTCTAAGATTGTAAATGATGCACAAGTCTATAAAATCCGTAATAAAGTTCGAACACTAAGCAATGTGAGTTGTCGATTGCACCATATTTTTCTGAGTTAAGCAGCTTATAGCAGGAACTAGATTACTACCAGGACCAACAGGCAGATAGTACAGGAAATGCAGTTAAATTCAAGCAATTGATTGGAAAGGAAAGAGCCTGACTTCCTCGTTGATCTAAATAATAAGTGATCAGATAAGGGTTTAGGTACTTGGAAGGACACCGTTACCTTCACTTGAGGAAATATTTGTCCATGTTCAAAAAGAAAAAATCGTCGGAGTGCTATGCTCTACACAACACCTCCTGAAAAAGTCGGATTGCTTGTTACTGGGCACAATAGCAACCGAAAGCCAAAAATCCAAAAAAGGATCACTTGTTTTACGAGTATTATGGGAAATCAAGGCATGCTAGGGAGACCTGTTGGAAGCTACACAGTTGACCTATTAAAGGAAGGGGCAGAAAATGAGCTGGTTTCACTCGTAGTCAAGCTAATCTGTCTGGAACCACGGGGTCATCTAGGGAGACAACTTTTATTGAGAATTTTTCTGCATATGAAATTCAACATCTCATACATCTTCTGTCTCAACTTGGCTCCTCTTCCAATATAACATCCAACTTTATCAGTCAGATAATGCTTTTAAAGCTCATAAAAACTTTGAATCTTGAATTATTGATTTTGGTGCAAATAGACACATGACAGAATCCTTTAAAACCTTAATTACTCTCCAGCAGAGAAGGGTTACAAGCGCTATCATCCTTTCTCCCGGAAGTATTTTATCAGAATGGATGTTACTTTCAGTGAGGATGAATTGTATTTTAGCATAATTCAATCACCTCTGCAAGGGGAGAACGGAAGAGAAGAGATGATTCCTGTCTCTGTTTGTCTAGAAGTTTTTTCCCCTAATTATTGAGTTCTTTTCCTAATTAAATTTGAACAGACGTCACTATATCTTTCCCTTTTAATCCCATTAATAACAAGAATCTTTCTGTAACAACTCCCCATTAGATGCAGCTAGTTTGTTAATTTACTAAATTCCTTAAAGCCAAACCCCAGTCTTCTGTAAACCAAATAATTTTCAACTTTTGCTAGCCTAAGTCCAGAAAGTGATTACTGTAAACTTATTCTCTCTATCCTAAAACATGAAAGAACAAAGAAATGAAGCATACGAAGCAGAATTGCAGATACAGATGAAGCAACAATCGAAGTGACACCCTAGTGAACTGTAAAGGTTTCTAAGCAAACTTTCTTACCTGCAGTATTCATCAAATGCTAGCCAATCTGCTTTCTTCTCGACATCATAAAAAAACCAACACCCAATGTCAAGTAAGGCCCAAATTAACAATAGTATAAGAACAGAAAGACACTCTTTTTTGGAGGAAGTGTATAAATTGTTATCTACTTCAATGTTTAAAACAAAATTACAATTAGTATCAGTAGCCCCTAAAGGTGAAAAAAAATCTGAATATTCGATTTTGCATAAAAAATATTCGAAACTGGATTTGGAAAAAATCGATTTTTTAAACTGGATCGGATATTTAAAAATCGGATAGTATAATCGGTTTGAGAAAAAATTGGACGATCGGTTTTTTTATCGGATTAAAAACCGGATTGAAAAAAACAAGATAAAAAACTGGTTTTTACCCGAAAAAAATTCGGTCTGAGGTTTTAAAAATTAGCCGTTAATATAGCCGTTGGGGTTTTTTGACCGTTTTTTCTTTAAAAAATCATCATTTTACCACCCTAAACATGTATAAATAGGTTGAGGATGTATTTGGTTGATTACAACTTTATCAAATCTAATTACACAACACCTAAACATCTCTCAAATCTTATTTTTGTAATTTTTTGTTTATCATGATTACAAACCGGTTTTTTATATTAGGTTTTTTTCAAAAATTGATTTTTTTAAACCGAAACTGGTTACACTATCCGACCCTCCAAACCGATTAGGATCCGAACCGATTTTTTTTAAATCTAATTTTTTAACTAGGTGAAAAAATCGTATCGATTTTTATCCGATCCAAATCAATTTTTTATCCGACTTTGTGAGTGTCTACCCCCATTAGTGACTTCTTTATGTTTTCAACTTCTAATTAGTTTTCATTTAATATGGCTTGAAGTTATATAATCAAACAATTGGTAGACACCCAACTCAAACGATTTGCCCAAACTAACCTTCAATAAGTGGTTACTAAATCAAAAACCCACATAAGAACCATTGCAAGAAGAGCAAACCCATTTAACCTTGGAGCTTTCTTTGCAATTTTCAAAGCAAAAAGCAAACGTCTTGAGGTTGGGATCCAGTGAAAGTTTTCATCTTTTTGAGATAAAAGTAACATACAGTGTCAATAGCAGAGAGAGAAGGATAAGATACAAAGGGTTTAGCAGTGTGGATGGTGTCCCCGGCACCGATTCTCCGAGTGGCGAACACACCTCTACCTGCTGACTCTGTGAGTGCAACTCGGATCGGAGGTGGAGATGGTGCACTCGATTGCGACTCATTGTTGTTAGGTGGGGTAACGGTGGCGGCGGTGGAAGAGAATAAAACGAGGGCGTTGGGATTATAAAGGGTCCCCACAAAGTCGAAGCTATAGGTGACGTTCTCATATTGTTTGAACGTTGAAGACAGACGAAAAGAAACGGCTATGGCTGTAATGTAATGTAACCGTTAACAATCTCCTTTATAATTGTATCAACTTCTTCAACCTACTTTATGTACCGTCTGCAAGGCCTTCACTTTTTCCTTCTCAAGGTCTTGAGTTCGTTATTTTACAAGCAAGAACAAGAACATCATCAACACCTTCCTGTGTCTCTAAATTGAAATTTTTTCTAAGAACTCCTGAAATTTGATATATTTTCTGGGTAAATTGCAACTTTAGTATTCAAACTATCACTTTTGTTTTGTTTTAATTACTCAAATATTCTTTCGAAGTCATACCCAATGTTTATTTTGATTTCATTTTGACCGTTCTTTGTTAAAAATTAATGGTGACACTGACATATCACCATAAAATAAAAATAAAAATAATATCATGTCATTGATTTTGTTAAATTTTTATGTAGGTGACCAAAATGAAAATAAAGCGTAACATTATGTATGATTTTTAAAAAATCGATAATCAAAACATAATAAAAGTGATAATTAGAATACTAAAAGTGTAATTTACCCATTATTATTACTGACAATTAAATAAAAATATTTAAAAGGATCTTGTTAAATTTTTACATCACATACCATTGAATTTAGGCAGTGTATCGTTTATTTTTTAATATCACTAATTACAATATTAAACTTTAATTTTAATTTTAATTTTATCGTCGAACTATTAAAATTCAAATAATATGATGACATAGATATAAAATTGTTTTAAACATCAAAGTTTAGAGATGCGGTCACGACATTAAATGTTCAAATAATTTATTTTTTGGAACCACTCTTTTTTTAGTTGCCCAAACAATCAATCATCACCCACCATTGGTTGTCTTTTATGATAAGATTAATTTCATAATGTTTGTATTTTACTACTCTTTCTTTCTTTAAGATTGATTTTCACAAAACACACTTAAAACTGTAAAAAAAAAACTATTATTTTTAAGAGTTTAAGGTTTTCTTAGATTTGAGAAGTTTTGAGTGTTTGTTCACAGTAAGACATTATTTTGAGAAGAAAATTAATATATCTCAAAATTAATTTAACCGGGCAATCATCATAGGAGATCAAAATATTAATACGTCAAACCTTTAAATATATTTTTTATCGATTTTGAGTAGGTTTCGTAAAAAATCAATTATAAGAGAACAAGAAGTAAATACAAATGTCTTGATATTCATCTTGGTGCAAAAAATGACGATGTTAGATAATGATTAGCTGCTTACAAAGATCATAAAAGTTTTAGTGCAAAAAATTGAATTCTTCTTAAAATTTAATGACAAATATACCTTTAAAATTTAGTGCTTAAAACATCGTTTTAATAGTATGAATGAAAATAAAAGTTAAATAATATAAAAAATTAGCTGACCCTATTCTCATATGTAATTGGGTGATGGAGAGGTAAGTTGAGAGCAGCTTCCGTGGAAGACCTCCGGCAGTTAAAATTATAAATTGCCCACCGTGAGACTCGATCCCACAACCACAAGATTAAAAACATTGTTCTCTACTAACTGACGGACAATTCTAAAACTTAAATAGTATGAACATCTAAAATACAGTGATATCCATATAATTTACTTATATTTTATATTTTATAATTGAATAGTAAAACTCAATATAAAAATGAAGTATAATGATAAATAAAGCAAAAGGTAAATCACCTTAATAAATTACAACCTTGGACAGATGAACCGCAGAAAACTACATGCATAGGGGGGGGGGGGAGAAAAGAGTACAGAAAAAAAAGGCGACAAGAAGAGGTTGAGTCGGTTTCATTATTCTACTCACCGAATTGCAGCCCGAGTTTGCCGACGATGGCGACATATTCTCCAAAGCAGAGACTTCTACTATCTAAGGAAGCGAACCGGATATACCCAGAAGGCAGCTTGCTTAGTTCAGTTGCGTGCAAGTGGCTCCTACTCTGATGGGTCTAAGCCAGTTGGACAACCCAGATACGGTATCACTGTTTTTGATCCAGTTAGTGGGTTCTGGGGTCGAATTGACCCGCTAAGCAAGTAGGACAACCCAGATACGGTATCACTGTTTTTGATCCAGTTAGTGGGTTCTGGGGTCGAGTTGACCCGGTTCCAAAGTACCCTTATGGGCTTCCTTTGTTTTTCCAGATAACAAGCACTGAAGGAAAGCTTGTGGTGATGGGCGGATGGGACCCCTCAAGTTATGATTCAATGAGGGACGTCTTCATATACGAGTTCACAACTCAGAGATGGAGACAAGGTAAGCACATGATGGGTACTCGATCGTTCTTGTCGGCTGGCGGATTCGAAGGTCGTGTTGTCGTGGCAGGAGGTCACGATGAGAACAAGAACGCTTTAAATACAGGATGGAAATACAACATAAACGATGATGAATGGACCGAGTTGACTAGGGTGAGTCAGGAGTTAAGGAGAGCGTCGGGTTGATGGATTTGAGGACAGGTCAATGGAGCCAAATCGAGGAAGTTTGGAAGGCGAGTTAGTGTCCTAGATCTTGCGTAGGAATCGGGAAAGAGAAGACACTCTTCTCATGGGTAACCCTGATTCGGGAAAACGAGTGGGAGTATGTGCAGTCCCATCAGAGGAATGGACACTTGTATCTGGATCAACTTACCAGGGTGGCCAACAAGGGTTTTTTTTAGCTGACAAACACGGTGAAAAATTCAAGAGCATCCATGTTCCTATCCAGTTTTCTGGGTTTGTACAATCTGATTGTTCTGTGGACATATAATTCTAAATCTAAATGTAAACGTATAAATTCTAAGGGATGTTGATGAGTGTATTCGGTAAATTTCTAGATTCCATGATATATGTGCACACATATATGTACAACAAAAACGCCTGTGCAGACAGTTCAGTTAAAGCACAACAAAAATGCCTGTTCAGCCAGTGCAGTTAAAGCACAACAAAAATGCCTGTTCAGCCAGTGCTGTTAAAGCACTACAAATCTGTGGGGGTCATGCAAGCGAAGACGCCTCTTTCCTATCACTCTTTTTGGGTTAAACTATACCATTAACACTCAACTATTTAACCTTTGTATTTTTACTATCGATCTTTCAATTTTGTCAATTAGACCACTTAACTATTTAATTATTGTCAATCAAACCACTTACTTTAACAAAATTGAAAGATCGATGGTAAAAGTAAAAGGACTAAATAGTTGAGTGGTCAATGGTATAATTTATCCTTTTTTTTCCTTTATGCACCTCATTTTTTGCGGCTCATCTGTCCGACTTCCTCACCCATAGGGCATTGGGAAAAATATTACTCATATAGGGCTCTAACCAAATTATTTCCTGAATTAAGGTGTTTTCTACAGTCTCAAGGGAAAGACGCATGGATTACCATGCAATTTCATTTTTTTTCATTTCCACTTTGTAGAGCAAAAAAAATGGTTGGTGGGGTGAAGACATGCAACAATCTTGAGGTCTTCTCCAAGTTATCGTTTCAAACACCCTAGTTTGAGAAATAATTGCTTGAATGAACTATTTGGGGAATTCTTTTTTTCAAACACAATATTTCAACCATTTCCCCGTCTATCCAAGGTTGTAATTTATTAAGGTGGTTTACCTTTTGCTTATATTTATCAATATAATTCATCTTTATGAGTTAATTGCATCATATGTCCCCAAGTTATTACTCTCATTTTAAATTAGTCCTTAAACTTTTAAACATTTCAATTTCATCCCAAAACTATGACTCTCATTTTAAATTAGTTCTTAAACTTTTAAACATTCCAATTTCATCCCTAAATTATGCATATCATTCTAAATTAGTTCCTAAACTTTTGCATATTTAGTTTTATCCTCAAATTCATCCAAATATGCAATCCATTTCAATCATAGTTTAACCTAAATTTATTTTTTTCAAACATGTAATAATATAGCTTGGTCTAACGATTTTATTAACAAGGGATGTGATTAGTATACACGTATAATTTAAGATTGAATTGAAATGTTCAAAAAGTTTGGGGACCAATTTAAAATAAAGATCATATTTTGGGGGTGAAAATAAAATGTTAAAAGTTTGAGGATTAGTTTAGAATGATAGTCGTAGTTTAGAGATAAAATTATAAAGTTTAAAAATTTACGGATCAATTTAAAAATGAGAGCCATAGATTAAGGACATATGTAATTAACTTTTTCTATATTTAGTTTTATTATTCATTTTAAAATATATAATTTACGGTAAATTATATGGATATCACTAAATTTTAGGTGGTATATCGTTTATACTATTTAAATTTCAAAATTTTCATTTATAGCACTATAATTCGATTTTGACTCCAATCATGTCACTTATTAAATTTTAATATCATGATGACATTAACGAAAATTTGTGTCGACATAAAATGGACAAAATGACATTGTTTTGGCGCAACTATTGATGCCATAAACGACACCATTTTAAGTACTAAATTTTATAGGTATATCGTTTTGTCATTAAACTTTAAGAAGATTCAATTTTTTTACATTAAATTTTTTTCTGGTCATTGTTAGCAACTAATCATTATCTAACATCGTCGTCTTTTGCAACAAGATCAATATCAAGACATTTGTATTTTAATCCTCTTTTTTCTCATATGATTGATTTTTCATGAAACCTACTCAAAATACCCTTATGGGCTTCCATTGTTTTGCCATATAACAAGTACTGAAGGAAAGCTTATGGTGATGGGTGAATGGGACCCCTCAAGTTATGATCCAGTGAGAGACACAACTCAGAGGTAGAGATATGGTAAGCAGATGTTGGGAACTAGATCTTTCCTCGTAGTTGGTGGGTTCGAAGGACGTGTTATCGTTGCAGGAGGTCACAACGAGAACAAGAACGCCGTAAATACAGTGTCACAGACCACAAGTTTAAGTCCGTGACTTGTGCGCAGAAGGGGTTCCTTTATGCAGTCTTGGGCTTGATAGGGCAAGTTTTTGGCCCGATTCTTGGAGAATGATATTTCGTAAAGGAGTAAGTTTAAGGCATACGAGAAAAGTGACGAGAGTGTTATAAGGGTCGATGGGGCAATTGTTGAAGTTCGGGATGTCCGAACAGAGACATTGGTTCACGGATGTCCATAAAGAGTCGTATGGAGTATCGAGTTTGCTTAGAACCTTCAGACTTAGTCCATTCCTTGGAAGATTCTAGAAAGATTAATTATCTCTTAATTTAGAAATTTAATTACTTAAATTAATAAGATAATGTTTAGTTTGAATTTGAAAAGATCTGATAGGATTTCAATTCAATATGAGCCGTTAATATAATTCAATTTAGACCGTTAGATCTGATAGAGCTCAACTATAAAAGGAGCTTCACCTTCTCATTCGTAATCATTCAATTCATTCTTCTCGGCATTTACTAAGTTTTTCTCTCTTGTCGCTTCTAAACTTTGTTTTCACTTTACTCAACTTATTAGCTTGGCTCTTTTCTTAGGTTTTTGAAGCTTTCTTCCTAAGCCATTGTGCTTCGTCATTGCGCAACTTAAGTTGATTGGCTTCATTGCCTCTCTTTGTGGCTAAGTTAGCCCCGACAGTATTACCATTCCCATAAAGTTGTTCCAGTCTTGGTGGCGTGTTTAGCCCCAAGCGCATTAAGCTTCTGCATCTTCGTGTGTTAACGCTGAGTGGTTTCATCATCGCTAAGTGAGTTGGAGCTCACAAGGGCATGGTTAAGACTGACTTAGTCGCCACTTCAATCCAGAATGCGTCTAAAATCGTATGATTGGCTAATCAAAACTCTAACCACAACAAGAACAAGAACGCTTTAAATACAGCATGGGAATACAACATAAACCATGATGAATGGACTGAGTTGACTAGGATGAGTTAGGAGCAAGACGAGTGTCACGAGATGGTGATCGAGTCGGTATTCTGGGTGGTGAGCGATTACAGAACGGAAAATCAAGGAGGATTTGAGGAAAGCGCCGAGTTGACAGATTTAAGGACAGGTCAATGGAGTCAAATCGTGGAAGTTTGGAAGGCGAGCCAATGTCCTAGATCTTGCGTAGAAATCAGGAAAAAGAAGACACTCTTCTCCTGGGGCAACCGTGATTCGAAGGAATGGACATTTGTATCTGGGAACTTATCAGGGTGGCCAACAAGGGTTCTTTTTGTATCTAGATCAGCTTATCAGGGTGGCCAACAAGGGTTCTTTGTAGTTGACAAACACGGTGAAAAAAATTCAAGAGCATCCATGCTTCCCATCCAGTTTTCTGATGTAAACGTACAAGGGTGAAAATATATTGTAATATAATGCACAGATTACCCATACCCTGCATGTTTTCTCCTTCATTAGTTTAATGGGCATCCTAACCACAATTTTGATAAAAATTGCATCTACTTACCATGAAGAAACAAGAAGGCGAGAGGAACATGTTCAAAATCGTTCATTTAAGAATGTTTAACATCATTACTAGCTACAACCAGAACAGGAACTAAATAAATTTTGTCCTCAATTATATAGTAAAATTTATTATCGAACACATAATAAAGGGTTCAGTCACCTAGAATAGTCTACACTTTCATCTCTTCTCCTAAAGGGTGACGTAGAATACAATCATTACATATTAATCCTCACACCATCAAGTCAGTCACCTGGAATAATCCACACTTGGGCTCCTACTACTGTAGGGCGACCTTGAGTATGATCGTCCTCTATATCTCCCATCTCTGGGTGAAATGGGCCTACACCACATTAGTACAACAATTCACAAACCACAGATGATAACAACAAAAACAATGAAAGGCCTACCTTGAGTACCGCCTTTTCCTAGAAGAATAATATTCTGGACTGCGGGGGTAACTTTGATCATATGTGATCGAGAATAACGACGCGGGGAGCGCCTATATGACCGGCTCCTGTCATTAATATCATGCACATAAATAACACTTAATTTCAACACTAACATTGTCCAATTACAACTTTATACCCAGAAATCCTTCATAACAAATAAAAGTTTCTCGTCTTTCAAGAATAAGAATATCAACTGAACAGGAGCTAATTTAGAATAAAAATATGGGGTAAAATACATGTAAACATCCGTTTTTGTCCGGGTCTACAAAAATATTATTATATTTTAAATATTAATTATTTTATTTATCATTATATATTATTATTATTATTAAATATTTTATTACATATTTTGCAAGCCAATGAGCCCAACAGATACAACCCCAGGCCCAAAGATATTACAAAGTAGCCCATTATAGATGATCCAATTACAAGACTTGACCCAGACCAGATCCAGGCCTACCCGGATCCGACCCGAGGCCTAGCAAGACCCGACTTGATTAAAATTAAGGTTTCAAAACCCTAACAGCATCCAACCGCCGCCAGTGAAGGTCAAGCGCCCATCACACGCGCCTTATGTTCCAACTTGCTTATCAGCGCGTGGACTTCACCGCTCCTCCTCCAGTTCGCGTGTGCTGCCGCCGGTCCATCTCGCCATCGCCGTTGTCGTCAATAGTGGCCAAACAGTGAGCCAACAACCTAAATTAATCAAACAGAAAACCAAACATCATCTACAGTGATTTAATCCCCCTAAGTCAAAAACCCCATATCTAAATCCCTAAAAATCGAGATTTTTCAATCAACAAATAAAAAACCCAATCCCATATCAGATAACCCATACTTGCGCAGAGAACACATGATTTCCTCACCAAATATCAACCAAACCAACATGCAACATAGAGAAAGACGAGAGAGGCATTTGAAAAGGGGGATAGAGAGAAAATAAACAAAAAAACAAAGAAATGGAGAAAACCGAAAGAAAAATAGAGATTACCTTGCTGGAACAATCCCCGCCGTGAACTTCACCAGACCAAGAGCCCCTCATCTCCGAAGGTAAGGGTCTTGTAGTTGTTGGGTACAGTTTTGGGGTCCGATATTTTCGTTTTGTTGAGAGGAATAGAAGAGGAAAATACGAGAGTGGAGAGGGGAAAGCTAAGGGTTTTTTTAAGGGTTGGCCACTAATTTATGGTGACCGAAAAGAGGGACGGTTCCTCTCCCTCAACGATGAAAAGAGAGGGTTGAATATATTTTCTCTCTAAGCAGAAGAGAAACAGAAATGAGGAGAATGGGATGGGTTTGGCCAGTTTAGGCTTGGGTATTAACCCTATATACATAACGTAAAACAACGTCACATAAGTAGACCGAGCGCCTGGGTTTTGAGGTTAATATCCACTTTAGTCCTCGTTACTTTGTGATATCTCTCGTGTTTTTTCACATTTTTTTGGGTAAATCATAGTGTAACCTTACTTTTCAACTAATTAATGAAATTTCATTTTCTTTGATTTCGAGCACTTACGTTACACTATTTATATTTGGCATAATGCAAACCAATACCCATAACGTTTGACTATATATGCAATTCTGCTCAAATCATTTTTTTAGCATTTGACCTCCCCACGTTTCAATTTGGGTTAAAAAGCACCCTCATTGGATGAAAACCGTTAGTTAACTAACGGTCAACGGCTCTAGCTGACTAAGCAAGAACATGTGGATAACGATGATGATGTGGCGTGTCCACGTCACTAATCTATGCTGTCGTGGAATTGACACGTCAGCAATTTTTTTTGTTTAAAAAATTAATTTCAATTAGAATTTTGCACCAATAAGAGAGTGGCACGTGTCACTCTCCTATTGGTGCGTATTAGAAATAATAAATTAAAGGTTGCTACTTGCGTGAAAGGGGATTCAAACCTGGGGCAAAGGCGTGATATTGGATTGCCCTTGCCATCAGGCCAAGAATGCTATTCTGTTATGTGATGAAACAAAAGATTATTTAACCCATGTTAAATCACTTCATCCATCACAAAAAGTCAATATGCTAACAAGGACATACAAATGTTCGATAAAATATTTTAATCAAATGCATTTTCCAAACATAACAGCACATTTAGTGTCCCAAAAACTTATGAATGTGCAAATAGTGGCCAAAAATAAGGAAGTCTTTACATCAGAACAACATTATTCAACATTTACGAGTCAAAAGAAGCTATAAATATTGCAAACAGAACTTGCATATTTCTTACCAAACAGTGCATATCCACAGGAATTTCAACTGCATGGAATGAAAAGATAAAGGGGAAAACTAAGGATTCACTAAGCCGTTTAAGAGTGTAATTATTAAAAATTAAAGTTGATAAAGGTCATACCTAATTTATTGTTAGTTAATCAAGAGTTGGCACTGAACTATCCAGATCAGAACTTCATCGGAAATGTCTGTTCAAGTCGAAGCATTCCTCAGCAGACACACAAAGGGAAAAATGACAAACAAAATACATATTTCGAACTGCTTGACTAAATGCAAAATCGGGTTTTCAATTCCCCAAAACTATTAAGCAAACAAGCTCGAACGAGAATCTATATATTTAAATACCAAAAAACACTAGTATCTAAAACTAATTGTATAAATGAACTAATCTATCATAAAACTATGAAACAACATTGAATCAAACAAAAACCAGAATCATCATCATCTGAAAAAACCGAACCCAAGAAAGATAGTTGGCTTGCCTTCCATTTCGCAATAAAAAAACAAACAATGGATGCATTAACATGGAGGACCACTTTCCTAATAAAAAAATCCAAACATGCAGTCCTCACCACTTATATACCCTACAAAGAGCAATCCCCACCGATCAAGTTGTACGGTTATTAACAACACACAAGTTAGAAAACCCAAATATTTAACAAATGATTAGATACAAAGGCATAAACCAAAACATTTAACCAAACCCATTAATCCTAAACAAACCCAAATATTCGAGGTTTTTCTTTAAAAACTAAACTCACATTCTATTGCATTTGAGATGGAGAGATTGAAAGGGGGAAAGATTCGAAATTTGTTCTTTTCGAATTTGATGGAGATGGAATTGAAAGGGGATATGAAATTAGGTTTTAGATCGATTTAAATTTGGAGTTACTTGGGTTTAGGAGGAAATCAATTTGAAGATCCTCTGAGATATTAGAAACGTGTTTCATTTGGTTTAATTAAACTGAAGATTTAATATGGGTTAAATAAGCTTGTTTCATTATATAACTGAATAGCATGCTTGGCCTGGTGGCAAGAGCAATCCTATCACGCCTTTGCCCCAGGTTCGAATCCCCTTTCACGCAAATAGCAACCTTTAATTTATTTTTGCCAATACGCACCAATAGGAGAGTGACACGTGTCACTCACTTATTGTACAAAATTCAAATTGAAATTATTTTTTTAAATAAAAAATTTTGTTGACATGTCAATTCCACGTCAGCATATTTAGTGACGTGGACACGCCACATCATCATCGTTGTCCACCTGTGCTTGCTTAGTCAGCTGGAGTCGTTGACCGTTAGTTGACTAACGGTTTTCATCCAACGAGGGTGCTTTTTGACCCAAAATGAAACGTGGGGAGGTCAAATGCTAAAAAAACGATTTGGGCATAATTGCATATATGGTCAAACGTCAGGGGTATTTGTTTGCATTATGCCTTTATATTTAAGTCCCTAGTTCATTTATTTTACCATATTTGTTTATGTTTGACATTGCTCACCACATTTGTAGATATTTCATTTTAGTCATTGCTTGACATGTGGTTTAATTGTAGTCTGGTCTTTATGTTTCAGCTTATTTCATTTTAGTCTTAAATGTTAATCGGTTATTTACATTTCTGGTTCCTATTTTATTTAATATTTTAATTTGGGCTCTGATTTATTTGTATTTACTTTTCAGTCCTTTAAGTTTTTTTTTTGCTATTTAGCCCATTTATTTTTGTTTTTGGCTATTTTAGTCCTTTAACTATCTGTTTTAGTTATTTTAATCCTTTAAGTTGTTGTGTTTTCTATTTTGGTTCTTTAACATTCCGTATTTACTGTTCAGCCCTTTAAATTTATGTTTTTCCTATTTCAGTCAGGTAAATTTTTGTTCTTTGATATTTAGTCCTTTATTTTACTAAGCATGTCTAATTTTTTATTATTCGTATTTTAGTTGTCATGTTTGTAAATATCTATTTTAGTCCAAATTTGTAACTTTGTTCTATCGATCGTTATAATTTCATGTATATATGTATATAAATTATGTAATTGTTATGAGCATTTTTGTATGAGTTTTTTTTTTATTTCTTTTCGTTTTACTATGTGTATATTTAGATAATTATTTCCGCATTTTGTTATATATCATTATTGTTTTATAAATATGTAAATGGGAAACTTTCATTGTGAGGGAAATCTTCGAAGACATCTCCCGACTATAA